GCTTCTTCCATGTGGGCTTTGTTGTTTCTCAGTTAGATGGCCCCTTGTTTATCTTCCAGCATGTGGGACCCCAGATTCTGTGTCATTTGACAGCTTCAGGCCATTACTTTTATTTCTGGAAACTGAGTTCGGTAGTAACACTGGCCAGAGTTTTCCTTGCCAGATGATACTTCCAACGACGTACTTTTGAGCTACAATGAGCCAATTAAATGATGCATTTACGTGGCCACCTATGAATGCCCTTGCCGAGAAATATTCAAAGCATTTAAGTGGGCTACAAAGTCAACCAAAAAGGGCAAGCTTTTAGTTCCGCCTTGGTGTGTGAACCAAAGTGGAAACTTCCGCTTGAATGACATAAGCAGTTCCATTTCTTTTGACTGTTACAGCAATCTCTTTAGCAGCATGCCTCGCTCACGCCGCTTCCTTCTCCTCTAGTGTAACAGATTCCACATTGTGCATTTGGTCCATCAAACATGGAGCTATTTGTAGTTCTAGCCAAGTGAACCTATTCAATCCTCGGTTCATTACTGTGTCCATGACTCGTTCCATTTTTAACCTTTGGTTTTGTCATAAAGCGAATCCTGTTGAATGAGGCCGTGAAAAGAATCAGTCATCTCTTTGCAAAATGTTGTGCCCTTCAGCTGGCCTGGATCGCAAGTAATGCTAATTGTTGCAGAAGCAGCAAATGCAGACAATGCCTAATCATTTCCTGACCCGTTCCAGCAGTGCTTGAAAGTTTCCTTTGAAGTCCAAGAAGTCATTTCCTGAGACTGCTCATCAGTGGCCTTATGCCTACAAGCACCTTGATCACATAAAAGTTCTCATCGGCACCACGCCTTAAGTAGTGACGCTCATGTCTCTGCTTTTATCAGCTGCTTTGTGAGCATTCTAAAGACTCACTTTCTGAGCTTTTTCTAAATCTCTCAGCTGAACTTTTGTCATGCTCAGGAAATGCACATGCCCACTCAGGTTTCCTGGCCAGCTGCTTATTGAGTGCAGGAGCCACGGTTTATACGCTTTCCTTTGTAGAAGGCTTGTATTGCCAAAGTCAATTATTTCCACTTCCTAAGAAAGCTGCATTTCAGAGTCACGTCACAGAGTTTCTCATATTCAAAACCAGAACTTTTTAAAATTGCAGGCCTTTTCCCAATTCATTCGGTTTACCGTATGGTTTTTCTTTCGATCCTCGGCTATCAAGTTGATGCCGACCTCCTATCGCCCTCCCAGGAGAGAGTGGAAATGCTCCCTGGGGCTCTGGGGCTGCCGTGTCTGCAGGAGTGGGCTGCTTCTTTCTCCACGAGCACTAGTGCTCGAGAGTCCTTCCCCACGTTCTCCTGCACGGGCTCCTTTTGCATAGGATAGCGTGTTACTTTCACAAGAAATCGTGCTCTCTGTGTTTCTGAGAGACTTCTTTTTGGAGAGCCTTTTGTCTTCTAGTTTGTGTGCAGCAGTATATTTCTCAGTCCTTTGAAAAAGGACCACTGCGGCATTACGAATGGTAACTGACATTCATTCCTTCCCAGAGCAGCACAGCTGGTTCTTTCCCTGGGCAAATCCGTCTCCTGTGGGTCGGTACTCTGACTTGTCAGGGAGGCAAATGGCTTGAGTTTCTTCAGGACCAAATCACATGTCTACTGACCCTCCCGTCTTTGACTTTTGCTTTAGATTATTCTGTGTAGTAAGTGAGAAAAATCCAGAGTGAGCACAAGCACATGTATAAATTAAAATTTAAATATTAAAAATATATTTTAATCATTAGATCTGTCATCAGATTTTATACCGAGATCATTCTGTAAACATTTTATATTTTACTAAGCTGGTTCATGGTAATTTCACGGGAAGTCAAAATGTCATCCATGCTATCTGTATTGTTATGAAGGGGACAGGTCGTAGTGGGGACCCGAAGTCCACTAGCAAGCCATTTGGACAGTCCCTCTTAGTAGGTAGGGCCTTATGGAAAGGAGGATAAATCCAGGGTGTGGTGTGGCACTGATGAACCACAGAACTATCCTCTAGTTCTTTAAGATTTCCTCCCCTTACTATGAGGGTCTATACGTGATCTATCTCATTGGTCATGTTAGATTTGCGTATGTTCATGTGGACCTTTAAGATCACTCAGTACATGTTAATCAAGATAGCTGACCCCTCAGACACTGACAGGAGTAAGGTTTCCCTGAGGGAAGTAAGGGGGGTTTGATAGCTTTGCTGATTGTATAGCCCCACCCCGATGGGATTGAACAACAGAACTGTATGGGAAGGGATATATTGCAATGAATATATTGGAATATAATGGATATAAGGGATATATTGGAATGATATATTGGAATGAATAAGATATGTCAATACAAATATTATTTGAGAAAAAATAAAATAAAAATAAAATTCTAAATATATATTGCAGCACATGCTGTCAAAAAATCAGGTAGCTATTATAAATAAAATATAACCCTGGAAGCAATATTTTAAAGAAAAATGTAATCTATGCTAGAAACCAGGCTCCCAGCGCTGGAAAGAGGCCTAAAGGACAGGTTCTTGTGGATGAATCCTTGGCCTTCTTCGTGTGATGAGAGAAACTTGGGCAACCTACTAGTGCTGAATTTACAGTATGATTAGGGTAATTTATGTCGCTAAATTGTGTACATGAAAAACACCACTTGACAAATGTTACTGCATATTATTTATAGATAAAATAAAAAAGGAATAAGCTATTGGCACCATTAAAATTAGTTTCATGAAATTGAACCGTTTCACTTACTGAATAACAGCTACTTGGTATAGCTATCTTTTGGACCCTTTCCAGACCCTGAAGATTTTGTGATAAATACAGTTAAGTCCCATTCTTACTAACTTTATGTTTCAGTGGTAGAACTAGACTTGTAGTTTATCTTTATTCTAATAGTGAAAGTGAATGCAGACATTAAACTCATGAGCATTTTAATTGGTTTAAAAATATTGTATGAAAAGTAATGATTGTTACATTAAAATGTTTTCCTTCCTTTCTCCCTGCCTCTCCCTTATTAATGGTGATAGGTCATTCCTGGTGTCCATAATAAAGTCAGCAAAATCATCAGTAACCAGAGTCAAGACAACCAAGGAAAAAAAGACAAGGTAACCCAAACCTATTACGCTGTTAGGAACTGCTTTTAATTGCCCTTGTGCATATCTGAGTTTAATTTTTATGGGTACCAAGTAGGAGTACTGTATGTGTATTTACAATGTTTTATTTCCGTGAACATAACTGGCCCTGAAGCTAGTGAGCCTAAAGGCAGGAGGCTGGGAAGGCAAAGGCACAAACACGTCAGAAAGGGCCTCTTCATGCCCAAAGGGTGCCTCTCACACTGGGGGGTTTCTGAGACTTGATCTTGCTGCTCTCTCCTCCTGGAGGTCTATTTTCCTTAAAGTTCTTCAATAAGAGTCGTTTCCCTTCCAGGGCAGGTCACCTGACCTGAAAGAAACCGCTCCTTCCAGTCAATGAGACTTACTCATCCCCTTCTGTTTCCCCGCTGCTCTCCCAGTTGAAGTAAATTATCTAGTTTTTTAGTTTTTTCCCATGAAGATAACTAATTGCCTTACTGAAATAGCCCCCCCCCCCCATGTATCTTGGCACAACTGCTATACAACCATAATAATAATTATTATTTTTTGGCTATTGGTTGGCTTTTTTTTATAATTATTATAGCCTTCTACTGAATCTTCTTTTCTGGTAGAGAAAATTACTACAGACTCTTTTTCTGTAAAAAATGCCCTGTTTATTTATACTTTTTTTTTTGTTTTCACATAAAGGTTAAAATTTGCTGGTCAAATTCCATTAAAAATATGTTTGGGGACCTTACTGGGGATTATGTCAAATCTGTAGCTTAATTGGGGGAAAAGTGACAAATTTATGATACTGAGCTTTTTCTAACCATTAACGTGACATACCTTTCCATTTATTGAAATCTTCTGCTACTTTTTATGTTTTTTAAAGATCATTTTATTGGGGGGTCTTACAGCTTTTATCACAAAGCATACATCAATTGTATCAAACATATTAGTACATATGTTGCAGCATTTTTTTTCTAAACATTCACTTTCTATTTGATCCCTTGGTATCAGCTTCTCTTTTTGCCTTCCCTCCCACTCTCATGACCCCTTGATAATTATAAATTATTATTTTCTTTTTAAAAATCATCTTATTGGGGGCTCATACAACTCTTATCACAATCCATACATACATCAATTGTGTAAAGCATATTTGTACATTCATTGCCCTCATCATTCTCAAAACATTTGCTCTCCAACTAAGCCCCTGGCATCACCTCCTCAATTTTCCCCTCTCTCCCCGCTCCCCCTCCCTCATGAACCCTTGATAATTTAGAAATTATTATTTTGTCATATCTTGCCCTGTCCGATGTCTCCCTTCACCCACTTATCTGTTGTCCGTCCCCCAGGGAGGAGGTCACATGTAGATCCTTGTAATTGGTTCCCCCTTTCCACCCCAATGTCAAGCACATGCGCACATTTGTTGCCATCATCATTCTCAAAACATTTTCTTTGTACTTGAGCCCTTGGTATTAGCTCCACATTTCCCCCCTCCCTTTTCCACCTTCCCTCCGTCCCTCACGAACCTTGATAATTTATAAATCATTATTTTTCCATGTCTTACACTGTCCATTGTCTCCCTTTACCCACTTTTCTGTTGTCCATCTCTAAGGGATGTAGATCATTGTGATCAGTTCCCCCTTTCTCCCTGACCTTCCCCTTCCCCTCCTGGTATCACTGTTCTCATTAATGGTCCTGAAGGGTTTATCTGTCTTGGATTCCCTGTGTTTCCATTTCTTATCTGTACCAGTGTACATCCTCTGGTCTAGCTGGATTTGTAAGGTAGAATTAGGATCATGATAGTGAGTGTGTAGGGATGGGTGGGTGGGAGGAGAAGAGCATTAAAGAATTAGAGGAAAGTTGTATGTTTCATTGTTGCTACTCTGCACCCTGACTGGCTCACCTCCTCCCTGTGACCCTTCAGTAAAGGGGGTGTCCCGTTGCCTACAGATGGGCTTTGCCTGGGTCTCCACTCCACACTCCCCCTCATTCACAATGATATGATATTTTGTTCTTTGATCCTATCGACACCTTGTGATCACACAGGCTGATGTGTTTCTTTCATGTGGGCTTTGTTGCTTCTCAGCTAGATGGCTGCTAAATTATTATTATTTTCATATCTTATGCCAACCGCTGTGTCCGTTCCCCATGGTGTCTGTTGATCACCCCTGTTGGGTGGTAGGGTGGTGGTGGTCAGTTCCCCTTTCCTCCTCTCCTCTCCTCACCTTCCCCCTACCCTCCTGGTATCACTATTTCCATTTCTGTTTATTATGTCTTATCATTGATTTTTATGCTTTTCGTCAGAAAGTTATTTTAAGTCTTTTGTTTGATTTGAATCCATACATCTTTATATGTACTATTAAATATCTTAAATTACATTTTCTGTTTATTGCTAGTATATAGAAATAACCACTTTCACATATTGATTTGAGATCTTGTAAGTTTAATCTCCTATTCTTTTATACCATAGAATAGGTAGTGTAGAACATTGGAAATACATTAAAAAAAACTCCCTATAGAACCACCACCCAAAGACAACCTTGTTAACTTTTTCATATAAGACCTTCAAATGTTATTGTCATATAAAAATATGAATCTTAATACTATGCTTTTATTTTGGGATTACTGAAACTAGAGATTATCATTTTGAAAAAATGTTTACTTTTATTATATTATTTCTTTTTCTTGGTTTAATTATCATTTCTTTTTACACATTTTACTCTTGAGGTCATGAATCTGATTGGCCTGGAAGTTTTCACATAGATTATGACAAACTGTTCTTTCTTTTTTTCCCCCAAGGGTGGTTGCCTGGGACCCAAGTAAATGTTTTATATATTTATTTTAAATTTTATTGTGATTTGCATAGAAGTTTACCGAGGAAATTTGTTTTTCATTCAGAAACTCGTACACATTTCCCCCCATGGGATTGATGGCCATACCCAGAATGTTACAGCATCCCTCCTCCTCCTGCTTCCACTCCATCTCTCTTTCCTGTCCTTTCCTGCATCCTTCCTTTGTTTCGGGCTAATAGCACCCTTCTAATCTCTTGATTGACAGTCCTAAGGAGTGGGGTAGTGTTCACTATTGTTTGACTGAAAGTTGCCTAGGTGGATGAGTTCATTGATAGCATCCTTTAGGCATTCTGGCCCTGGAGGCTGGCCTTGGTGCACTCCCTTAGTTCTTTGGGTTGTTTCCCTGCGGGGCAGGCAGAGGGCCACAGTTGTTGTACCTTTGATAGCAGTTTATAGGCTTTTAAGGCCCCAGGTCTCTACTCAATAAAGTAATATATAGAACTTTGTCTTTGTGGACTATGTTGTACCAATGGACTTTGATGTCCACCGGACGACCTTCCTGAGTCCTTGAGCCCAGGAACTCACCCCGCAGGTGTTTGGTTGTGGTAGGCCACCTTAATAATTGTGTCCCCTATATGCTCTACTATGTTCACGTATGTACATAGCGTTTTTAAATAGGAGACTGGGTCAGAAAATACTGCTATTGGGTTCCAGTTTATATACACAGGTTTGTTCTATCTTCCTCCTAAGTTATAAAAACCAAACCAAACCACTGCCAATAAAGAGAATTAATATCTTTCATTATTATTTCAAAAGCTGGCTATCTTTGGGAGTATTGTAATTGACAAAGAATCATCTAGTTCCAAGGAAAAGGTTTACCGAAAAGAGGTTTTTTGCCATTTTATTCTTCATTTCTGTCACCCTTAAGCCTTTTTCAAACCAGAATAAAAGAGATGGAGTGATCACATTTTTGTATCGGCCTGTTATTTAATTAATCATTTTATATTTGGTATTTTCCTTCATCCTTCTTACATTGATCTGTTTTGTAATTTTCTACAAATAAAGTACCTCCTTGGCAGCTATTCCCTTAAGTAAATTTGAGTGCATGCTTTCTTTTATGAATCTCAAACAGTGTTTCTATTTGGGCAGTTCATCACATACCAGCTTTCTGTAACGGACCCGCTTATTGCCCACTTAGTGGAGTGTATCCTGCCATTAGTAGTTTCATTCTACAATGCACAATTAAATTATTTTATTGAAGCACTAGAACACAACAATACTAATAGTTGTTTTGCTATTGTGGAGAGCTTGGATATATATATCAGCTCCTATTCTTTTTAGCAGCTTGGAATTCTCTGTAAAATTTGGCATGTTTTATTTTTCTCATCGTTCCAGAAAATGTCTCCATTCTATGAAGGTAATTTGATCAGAGTTTTGTTCTACTTTAATTAAGTCTATTTGAACCTAATGCTGATATTCTGGTATCTTTTGGTGTGTAAATTTAAATAATACAAAAATGGGAGAAAGTATTTACTGAAAATATTTTCCTCTCTGAAAGCATTAAGAATGTAGGTTATAAATGAATTATAAATGAATACCTATCAAAAAGCTTGGTATTTTCATTTTAAAAACTTGAAGCGTGGAAGCTATAACTAAAAAACAGTTTGTGTGATTATAGAATTAATATGTCAGATATTTGACCTCAAGGTATGTTTTTGAAATGCATTTTGTGTGACTTATTCTGATCATATCAGAGAAAATTAACTTTAAAACAATAAGATTTGACAGTGAAGAACACATAGCTAGTAGACTTTCTCACTTTGGAAAGTCTGACAGTTTTAAAAGCCGCGATTTTGAATTCTTGCATGTTGATTGCTGTGGTGTGTTTTCATCGCCGTCGTGTCTGCAGAACATACACTCGAGGATGATTGTATGTGTGCGGAGTTTCTCCTGACATGACTGCAGTTAGATATAGTCAAAATAATTGTGGGTTATTTTGAGGAAAAGGCCTATGCCAGGGGAGTTATTCCTTCTCTCGAATTTTGCATCCGCAGGGGCGAAGGACTGCGCCCCCTCCAATGAAGCTGCCCCCTCCTTACAAAGCTCCGTCCGACGACAGTGACGACGAGGAGGAAGGATACGCCTCTACTGACAGTGAGTTCTTTTTGATTATGTCGGGCGGGCTGCAGAATTGATTAAATTACCCTCAATGATTCCGATGAATCACCAGTTATCGGACTGTGGATTCTTAGAAAATGTGCATGAACATATCATGGTGCACAAGAAAATACCTCCCACACGTGTGTGGCTTTCTTTACCCACTCTTCTCTTGGCTAGTGATAGATGAGTATTAGAGTGACTATCAAAGGAAGCTGGTGTGTTTTACCTGTATTCTCCCCAATCTTGTAGTGTGTTGTAAATGATAAGAATGCTAAGAAGTTCTATTGAGTCTTAAGACATATGAGTTGGAGCTAGAGGGCAGTTTTGATGATCTGCTGGACTGGTGATGCCTTTGCTGCTGTTGGAAGCTTCGCTGCTGTGCTGTTAAACAGGAAGCTTTACAAAAGGCTTACCGAATGCCTTTCTCTTCTGCATTGCTTTTGTTCCGCGCTGGTGCGTGGGCTCGCGCTCGTAGTGCCCTTTTGTAAAACAGAACGAAGACTTCCCAGCCTGAGCCATCTTCCTAACCACGGCTGGGTTGAGGGCATCGTTGCTGCCGCTGTGTGAACCCATCTCATTAAGGTTCTTCTTCTGGTTTGGTCACCGTCGACTTTGCTGAGCATGGTGTGCTTCTGGTACATGAGCCACTGGCCCTCCTGGTGATCTGGCCAGAACGCACGAGACAAAATCACGCTGTTCTCACTGCCAGGGAGCATTCCGTCTCCCTCACGGCAGGTTTGTTTGTTGTCAGGCATCCCACAGTATTCTTCGACAACAGCATCTGTGCTTTCTTTTCTATTAACTCTATCCAATATTCAGTAGTGTATATTTAATGGAGATTTTATTTAAAGGTATTTGCCCTTAATTTATACATACACAGTACTAAAAAGCTTAGTGGTGTCTAGTGGTTTCAGACTCGTAGCGGCCGTACAGGACTGTGTAGGACTGCCCTGTGGGTTTCCGAGACGGTCACTTCCTAAGGGAGTAGAAAGCCTCTTTTTCCCACACAATAGCTGGTGGGTTCGAACTGCTGACTTTGCAGTCAGCAGCCCAATGAGTAACCACTATACCACCAGCATAGTATGAGGGTAAATAAGAAAGTATTGGTACAAAATCATTGAAACCATCATTGAACAAAACTATCAAAATGTGAAGCTACTATTTTCCATACATTTTTCATCAGAATCCATATACTTCTGAAGGTAGTGCGCCTACCTCTCTAACTTTCTTTAAGAATTCTGCAAGGTTTGGTCTACACAGCATCAAAACGGCAGTGTTGGCATCCCTGAGGGCTCTAATAGTGTTCCTTTGAAGGGTTCCTTGAGTTTTGGGAACAGAAAGCCTGCAGGGGCAGGACCAAAGCTGAAGTGTAGGCGGGGTAAGGCTTCACAACAACACTCTAGGATGACCCGTGTTTCCCTTGGAGAATGAGCAGGTGCATTGTGGAATCAAAAAAATCCTGGCCTTTTTCTCATCAAAGCATTTTCAGTTTCTAATTCAGCCCCCTGATTGCTCTGTGTCATTTGAGAAAATCTGTCAAGGTGACCTCTTTGGGCTCCCCAAAGCATTCATCATCATCATCTGAGTTGGCCTCTCTGCCTTGAACTTAACTGTGCCAGCAGATTCTCTCTTTGGGAAGGCACTCTCAAAGACAAGACGAGGGTAGCACTGAAAGAACTCGGCTATGTCCACCCACTGATTGCAGGGACATGTTTGAACACATTGGCTTCCAAAGAAACTAATGTCATGTGTATGTCCACCAGAACTGTAGCAGCAATACTTTGTGACTCATCTGTGTATATGTAGGTGCACCGATGGATATGACTGATACATGTGTGCTCGTGTGTTCTCTACTCCCTTGGTCTGCTATGTCTCTTAGAGGAACTGCAGCAGGCTGGAGATTGGTTATTGATTATTCATACTTCCTGGGATGCTAAAATGCAAACATGTGCATAGTTGGTAGGAAACCTGGCTTCAGTTTGTGACTCAGACTGCTTTCTTACTCCAGTTCTATTACTTACTGAGGTGTGAGTTCGTGGCAAGTTCTTTCACCGTTTCATGTCTCACACTTGCTTAATTATGACGTGGAGTGTCAGTGTGGCTGTGATGTGTGGCTAGCAATACCCTGTCTGCTGGACTTGCTGGGAAATTACGAGAAAAGCATTTGAAGAACTGCATACAAGAAGTGCTACAGCTACTGACCACTCTGGTGTTTATCACCTAACAGGCATCCTTCTAAGACCGGGGTTCTCAACCTTCCTCATGCGGCGACCCTTTCATACAGTTCCTTATCTGGTGGTGACCCCCAACCATAAAATGATTTGTTGCTACTTCATCACTGTAACTTTGCTGCTGTTCTAAATCAGACGTCCCCTGTGAAAGGGTCATTCGACCCCTGAAGGGGTCGCAACCCATAGTTTGAAAACCACTGTTCTAAAGTTTTTATATCAATAATTAACTCAATGAACACATTAAATTTTTGAGGGCCTCTTATACAAACCGAGGTGTACAGAAATTAAAGACTATGCCATAAGTCACATGGCTAATAAATATTAAAAATAAGATATGTACCAGGTACTGTTGACTCCAGAGACCGTCTTCAGAGAATATAATCTATGCACTCCATTGCTAGAAACCTTTTTCTGTAGCTAACGTAGACACACAATGGTTGTGGTTTATTTTGACAAGATCACTTTTAGGCCATAAGATACTCAAAACAGCAGCACTTGTCCCAACGTCACAAGCTCGTGCACTTACACACACTCGCCAGTGATGCATTCCCAGCACCGTGGCATCCAGGAAGGACACCAGTGTACACTGAACACAAAACAAAACAAATACCCCCTTCTGAGGGAGAAATAGCTGACTTGGTAAGATGAGCATTATAATTATCTCTCAGACGGCTGTGAGAAGTAAATGTAACTATGTAGAGGCCCTGCTCCATAACAGATATTATAGAGGACTTCTCTGGTGCCGTTGAATAGTCTCATGGCATCCGGGTCTGTGATTATCGCAGGTCCATAAACATCAATCAAACTTGCTTGACTTTCTTTTTTTTTTTTTTTTTTAATTATTTCTAGAATTAAAGCACCCGGTATTCCCAGGCGGTCTCCCATCCAAGTACTAACCAGGCCCGACCCTGCTTAGCTTCCGAGATCAGACGAGATCGGGCCCATTCAGGGTGGTATGGCCGTTGCTTGACTTTCAAGCTTAGAAGCAGTATTCCACCTGGATGTGTCCATGCTGACAAAACAGCCACTGTGAAGGACTGCACAGTGTTGTCACCCATGGGTATCATTAAGACAGAAACTCTTGACTCACTTTGTGGTTAATAGTCTTTAATACTTGCATTTTAAAAATCCCTCTCTTGACGTTCTCATCAACTCTATGGGTTAGGTGTCTTCTGGTTAGCCTTTTTTACCCCAGCAGAGCGTCTGGCCCAAATTTTAGTTGCTTGTTCACAATATAGAATATATTCTTTTCCACCAGCTCTTTTAAATCTTTTTATTAAGACAAAACAGTATTTTATCCACAAGGCTGACCCTTTACTTACCATTCTCAGTTCTGGCTAAACACATTATTAGTAACCCCAGACAGAAGCATCCCTTTCATTAAGCTTCTTCCAGACAATGATTCCACAAATGTCGATGAAATTTCTTTCCCAATATCTCAATTTTAGCTTCCTTTAAATTTCTATCACCACAATGTCAGCAGCAATAGTTGTTACAAGTCAGTTTTTATTGACTGCCATGTGTCATTATACCAATTATTTAAATACATTCCCTGGAGTCATTGAGCAGTTGATAAAGGAGATATCAACCTCTTTTCTGATGGGCAATGTTGCCTTCTTTGGAAAAAACTTGTCTGACTCCTTATTCCAATGTAATTGTGTGTATTTTTTTTTTTTTTATTACTTGTTGCCGTCAAATGGATTCCAACTCATAGGACCCTGTAGGACAGGGCAGAACGTCCCTTGTAGGTTTCCAAGACTGATTGTTTACAGGGATAGCAGGCCTCATCTTGCTCCCAGGGAGCACCTGGTGCTTTCAAACTGCTGTTGTACTGTGCCACCATTCCTTTTTCTTCTTCTTCTTTTCTTTTTAAGCACGTAACAAAAGTAATTTTAATTACTATTAGACTGACCCACTAGGTTCCAGGAGGCTAGTGACTATTTTGATCCAGCCAAGCACATTTTATAAACTCAAGTTTTGGACAAATGAAAGACGGAGGGAGTGTTAACTATACCGTTCGTTAGTTAGTTAACAGAGGGAATTCCATGAAACTCCAGGTCAGCTGTGGTGCTTCAACAAAATCCCTTTTACTGAACCATCCTATTCATCTTGTGTAAGAGCTTTTGTGTATATGTTAAGCAGGATTCTTTAGAGAAATAAAACCAGGACACTTATGATTTTATATGTGTGTGTGTGTGTGTGTGTGTGTGTACGTACGTACGTACGTACATACATATGTATGTATGGATATGGATAGGTTTATACAGTGAGAAGGAATTTAACAGCTAATTAGTCCATGCAGCAGTAAAGAGGGCTCAGTTCAACTCCATTTCATAGAACATTTAATATACTGGAAGTTCTTCAATTTACGTGGGCTGCTGGATCCAAGGTCAAGGAAGCAGACAGGCAAGCAGATTAGGCAAGCAGAGCCTGCCCACAGTCAGTAAACAACAGGGTGAGTCACCAAGTGTCAGGAGCTTAGGGAAGCAGGCCCAGATGGGATATTGAAATCAAGCAATGCAAGGCGACAGGATCCACCAGCCACAAGCTCATGCGATGTAAGCACCAACAGTGTGGTGAAGCAGGTCTTGAAGAAGCCTCAAGCTCTAGCAACACAGTCCATGATCCATGGGTTGGCTGGGCCCACAGATGGTAGAGTACACAGGATGAGGCAGAGAACTAGTTAAAACAGCAGCGCGCTGGTCCAATCACTAGAGAGCAAGAGAGATGGGGACGTGCCTTGCTGTGAGCCATTTATCTCTT